TGTTGTCTAGCCTAGAGGGAAGTCCCCTCACGACGCTGGGAGCGAGACTCACCGGGAACTGGAAACCCCCCACATCCCTCTGTTTAAGAGCCCACTGTGCGCCTCCGGCTGGAGTCCGCCCCGAAGACTCCTGGTCTCTCTCTCTCACACTCACGAGTCGTTTCCTTCCTCATCTCTCTCCGAGTCAGCCTCTACGCCTAGCCGCAACCTGGTACCGGAACCTTCCCCCAACCAGAACTCATTATCACAAGTAAGCTTCGAACCCATACAAGTTGCCTGATTTCCTACGGTCATTAAACTCACCTCCACTCTCCCCTGTGTGCAGCTGTGCCAGTCCTCCAACAGCAGCTTCCCGACTGTGGATGTTTGAACTTTTATCTTTGTCAATAAACATCTAAATTTTCATTCAGCCTCTCTGTGAGTTTCTGCATGTGGGCTCAAAAACTAAAACCCAGCATGACAACTTTAAACCTTTTGGGTTTGATTATCCCTGATACTGACCAAGAAAAATCTCTAAAAAATGAATTTTCTGGCAAATAGATAATTTTGAGAGCAAGAGAAGTTTGACCTGACTTGACTTCAGACAATGAGGGGGGGAAAAAAAGTGCATGTCTTTTTATTCTGTGCATGTAAATGACTGACATTTGCAGTAGTAAATCACAGACAGCAACATAGCAAAATTGCATAGTAAGTTTTACAGCAACCAGAGGAAGGATCTAACAGATCCTCCTGTGCTGACAGCTTGATGAGCAGATGAAGTTGACGAGTAGGCGCCGCAGCAGATCCGTCACAGAATGAAGGGAGGGGAGGAGGAAGGAAAAATGCTGGAATATGGAAGGGATAACATCCTGGGTGTAATAAATCTGTAGTCAGTCTCACAGTGAACAGAAATGTCTTTAAGATGGCTGGGTCGAGGTGTTTTGTTTAAAGCTTAAGGAGAAACAGGATTTAGAAATTTTGATTAAATTTTGCAACAATCTTGAATTGTTTAAACTGTTTTTTTTTGTTTGTTTGTGTGTTTGTTTTAAAAGTGAGTAACTCATCTTAAGTGGACAGAGGGATTTTGGTTTTGAGAGTCCAAACTTACTGCTGGCTGAACTGAAGTTAACTCCAAAACAGATCTTAAAAGAGCTCAAAATTCAAATATTTTATAGGATTTTAAACAAATAATATCCTGATTTTTACAGTGAATTACTTACTAAATTACTAACATTTAATTTAGTAAGTAGTTCACTTACTAAATTAAGTGAATTACACTTCAAATGACTCCTTTCTCACCTGTCATTTGAGAAAGGTGTACTTTGTGCACGTTGTTCATTTTCCATCAAAAACATCATTTTTCAATCAAATTAATTTTACGTTTGATTCTGCTCATGAAACATTTCAGTCTTAACTGTTCAAGTCTTTCTTGTACAAAACTTCTGACCAGATTAGAAACAAGTCCACATGTGGCCTCCTCGTTCTTTCTCTGATTTAAAATGAGTTTTCAAACCTGCTGAAACGCAACATATTTAAGAGAAAGACCAGCGAGGTGAGCCGTGTTGACACTGACGATGAGACGCGTCCTGTTAAATCTAGAGGTTCCTAATTAAGGCAGAAAGATTTTACCCCAGAAAAGTATTTGTTGCACCTCCAAATAACATTGTCTGCTCAGAATTAGTGCTGAACCGCTGACAGAAGGGGCGGAACGGAGTCCAGATGGGACCGTCTCTAATTTATAATCACAGGTTCCTGCTCAATCCAATCATCACATATTCATCAGCAGTATACCATCCACCACCTCTGTGACGCCCCACATGTACTCAGTATTCTCTCTTTTCAGATTTCAGTAGCTGTCCTTGCTTTTGATATCAAAACATATGCATATCACGTACTGTACACACGCGGAGAGAGGAATAGCGAACTCTCAGAAGTCGCGGGGTTTTTTTGTTGCGCTTTTGAAATTTCATTGGATTGTTCTGATAAGACCACACAGTCTGCATTTGGGATTTTTCAATTTGAATAGCACAGAATTTACTTCTAAATGAACCAGGAGATGCACACTTTAAAGATCATATACATTTTTGTCATAAAGGCGAATAACAGGTGAGGTCAAAGTGAAATCTAGTATGACCTCTTTGTAAAACTTTTCTTTGCACTGTTGCGCTGGAAGCGCTCTTTATTTTGTGCCACTTAGTGAACTTTACAAGGTAATAAGTATTTATTCTCTGCACGTGGAACGTAATTATACAGGCAAATAGGACTGTACAAAGGTTAAAGCTCTGAGAATTACTTTGGCACACTAGAGTTAAGCTCCCTGCTTAACAATAAGTGTCAACATGCCCTTCAACAGAGAAACATTTAGGAAGAGTATGACACCTATCAAGGTGATTCATCTGCAGAATAGACCAATAGGACGGTGCCAAAGGTGAACAGAAATCCTGTCCTATCCCAGTTGTGTATTGGTAAGAAATTATTAAATGATTCTTTAGTGATGAAATTAGCACAAAAAAAAAAAGACTGTGAAACAAGTCAAACTACTCCCATGAAAGGAGGTTTTATTCAGTACAAAAGGTCAATTTACTTAAATTGGAACCTGTGTCACACGTACGAAGTAGAAATAAATCAACAAACCAAGGCTGAAGTTTGATCTTCAACCAATCTATTTAAATTTGAGGAACATACTACTCTGTGGTTTGGTGTTGTTGTCTGAAGCACAATGAACATAAACCAGAGAAAGAAGATTGTAGTACAGCTCAAAAAATTACAATATCATGAAAATGTTCTCTCATTTCAGAACGTGAAGCTCATGTTTTGTAGACTTCAGCTCCTTATCTTTCCCCTGAGCTGCAGCCTGTTAACAATCAACCACCTGCTTTTTTGTTCGCTAACAGACACCCCAGCATCCCTTTCGGTTTACTTTGTTCTTTGTCGGAGCCTTCTGTTGCCACGTTAGTTCTCTGTTGCAATATCTGCTATCTGGTGCTCCTTTGTGTTCCTTACAAATTGTTTACCTTCTTCGTGATTTGCTCTTTAAGCCTAGCTGCATTTGGGACCCTGAACTCATCAAACAATGCGACAATGACGTTTAGAAAGAAAAGAACATTCCTATTCTGAATGAGGAACCTTGAATCTGTGAAGGGCACAACAGAGTCTCAAGACGGTCAAAATATGTAAAATATATTATATTGCACAGAGTCGGACAGCTCTGCCTCAGGTCTTTGAACTTCTAAGGACAACGACCTAAAACACACTAAAGGCTCCCAGGAACGGGTGAAGAAAAGCGAACGAATGTCAGGTTATTTTAAAATTACCTTCCATGAGCCCAGATTATAAGTGTAGATATATGAAATCTAATTTGGAATAAGCAATACGGGATCCTATTAAACTTTTGAGGTTTTATCTCCACTGGGCAGTCCTGTAAAGACTATTTTAAAAAAGCTCAATGTACATCTTAAACATAAATGCTACCATTTGATGTTTTGTACCAGATTATAGTTTTCAACTATTTCACACCTGCAGCCTCCTAAGAGCATAATTTTATTAAACCTTTGTCAGCTTTAAGTCTTTTTAGGGATACTTGTGCATACTGAAGAAGGGTTACATTAAATATTATTGGCACATGTGACAAATCCATGCATGCAGGGTGAAAATATATCTTGGCACCTACGTTGAATGGGCTTCTACATTTTCTCTGTGGAACGGGGCATGGATGAATCACATCTGAGAGGTGTTCTGACATGTCTGGAACCTGCATGGTGGTAATAAAGCCCAGAGGGACTGTGGATTGTGAGCCGGAGTCTCTGTGGATTAGGCTTGCCTCCCACAGATCCCATAAGATTGGAATGTGGCACACCTGATGCTCTCTCATCTTCACCGAGCCATTCTGTTCAAGAGATGTAATGTAGTATAAGAGTGGGATCTATTAAGAGTATTATTGGAGGAATGTTTGGAGGGTGGCAGCCATAAAAGTAATGTATAAGTGGATACCTGGGTGGAAGCTTTTCAGCAGAGTCGTTGGACGACGAGCAATGCTTTACGTTGCAGGATCTGATATGTACATGCTGTTTTTATATTTTATCAACTGTTTAAAAACAGGCATTGATGCCTAAGGAGAGCTGCACAAACTGATGTAATTCACATCCATTTACATCAGCAATACAGTAAATTGGTAGTGTGTATATGCTGCATATTAATAGTCAAGTGCTTAGCTTTTTATGGAGTTGCATTCTAAACAGATTATGTTCTGATATAATACACCTTTATAATTAACTATAATTCCTGACTATAATTTTGAACAATGAGATTCATCTCTGTGTGACCTGGAGAAGTTTAAATTGTAAAATAATTAGTTAATCTTTCTTCTTTCAAATCTTCACCTTATCAACTTTAAATGATCTTCATATGAAACATTTAAAAGGCTCATACTGAGTTTTCACTACTGACTGGCTGCACCTTTTTACATGTTAAAAGACTGCAGTGATGCTGCAAAACCTCTAGCAGTGAACCAAAGCTCCTTTAAATTGCGAGGTGCCAAAATCAGACTTGGGTAACTAATGTAATGCCAGATTGTGTTTAAAGGCTCCCTCAGGTGTGACCAACTGGAAACACAGACACTGAAAGGCCTGCATCCCTAATACAGTCTAGGAGAATAGAAGGTTCTTCCACATTAAGGAAAAAAAACAACTTTTTTGTTAAATGGGAAATTGAACTTCTAAGTTCATTAATTCAGTTTGTTAAGCTACTGCTCCATCTGTGATGAAAAAAAAAAATCTTAACTTATTAATGTTTACATTTCTCCAACAGACAGACTATCTGTGTAACATGGACTCACTGTAACTTTGCTTCACATGTCTGTCTCTGAAATTGATTTTTTTTTCTGTCTGGAGATCAGAGTATGCCCTTTATTGACAAAGCAAGGGCAAAACTATAGAAAAGCTCCATCTTTCTACTCTTTCATAGGCCTGAGTGCAAAAGCAAAAGAAAAAAAAAACATTTAGAGAAAAACTGAAGACGCTACTTGCAATATAAGAAAAAAAAAAAACTTACAAATTTTTGTCCCGGAGCAAACCAGTAGCCACATGTATTTCAATCAAGTATTGAAGTTAAATACAGTTTATCTATCATAACCAATATTTTATATAATTTGAATATGAAGGAGTAAGTGTTGTAAAAGAGCATTTTGACGTACTTGGACGTGTGAACAAAAGGTTCAAGTTAAAAGCTAATATTCATTCATCAACAGTAAGAGAATACCTGGACTGGTCTAGTCAAAGTCTGGTTTTTAAGAAGCTTATATAAGATCTTATATAAATAAGACCTTAAGCAAGTTGTTCAAGCTGAAAAACCATCAAATTCTGCAAAGTTGCTAATTGTTATACGGTTAACAATAGTGTGCTGTTTTCTTACATGCTGTAGATTTT